CCGCAAGGGTGGAAGTGGGAGTTTAAACCAGCTGCGGGTGTCTTCAGCTCTGTGTGTTCTACACTCTGCATTATGTCTGGGCTTGGTCGAAAAGAATCGTGTGCAAGAGAGAACGTCTGGAGGTTTAATTCATCAGCTGATATAAATGGGCAGTATTCCATTGACCTCAGTGGAATGACACTGGCCTTTGCCAGCTCAGGAGTCTCTGTGGTGAGGAGGGAAACCAAAGAAAAGCAACTGTGAGGCACATTCATTCACTTGATTTAGCTTGTGAAGTAATGGGAAACGTTCCTTGAGCAACTTAATGCTCAGTCTGGAAAATGCTGTGAGCATCCACAGCCTCAGATCAGGAGGATGCTCCCTGCATCGTGCCCAGGAGAAGTGGTTGCCAGTGTGTGGAGCTCCTGGTGCTGGGCACTGCAAGCTTGGCCCTCTGCAAAGTGCCCCTCCATGGACCTCTTCCTGGCAGTAGGTGTTTAGTGGCAAAAAGAAATGGATGTGAAATGGGGCTCTAGTCCCTGGTATTTACTGTCTTGAGACAGTATGAGGGTAGTATCCTCTTGTTCACCCAGCCTCTGTAGGAATCAGTATGTGAGATTTCTGCTGACACCTGCCGTGCTGCTGTGGTGAAAGCAAATCTGATGTGTCTGTGTCTGTGGTGGTAGCCCCGACGTGGAGTTTTGTGCATCTCAGCCCAGGCCCCTGGTGCTGCAAGCTCACGTGTGTCTGGATAATAGTATGTTCTATTAAGACATGAAACACTTTGAGGTCTGGTGAATGCTGTGTCTGCACAGTGAATCAAATTCATTGCAGAGTTACATAGTAGAGACAGTAAAAGAGAATCTATAATTATGATTCAGTGGGAAAGTATACAGTGGTCAATAACCCACATAATTCTGACTTCTATTTATGTTGTGCAGCAATGTAGTGTCTGTGCCCTGAGCTGTAATGTGAAAGATCTGTGTATATGGGGTTTGCCCAGTAACCTTTGTTCAGTAATCTTAAAGGTGCAGCTGCTGTAAACTTCAGATTTTCTGTTTCCGATGGGAGAGGTGCCACCATACCCATCTACATGAAAGACCAGGGTAGAAAAGGCAATTGCTAAAGTTGAATGGAGGCTCTCAACTGGGAAAAGGTGATCTTGCCCTTTTAAATTTGGTTGAATTTTAGCACCTAATTCACTGGTAGCATCCATTGGCATTCAGTGATTTTTAGGATGAATACTTGTGTCAATGATAAAATTGGTTGGAATAATTAAACTAAAATAAATACCATTAGACAAAGGTGCCACTTTGCCCTCTAAGCAGGTTTGATGTCTTCTCTGTGGACCAGACTCTCCGGTTGGTATGCTGTTGTGTGCTGCACCTGAGGAGAGAGTGGGGACAGCTGTGGGCACTGGAGTCCTGCAAAGTTCTGGTTAGTGTGGCAGAGAAGAGAAAGGGTCCTAAGGCAACTTGTAGTAAGACAGAGAGAGTTGTAATTTAGGCCAAAATATTCCCATCAAAATTGAAAGCCAGTTCAACAGCCAGTGGCAAGCATCCTGTGTTTTGTAAAGCTCATCCTGCAAAAAATGAGTTGTGCTTCTAAATGGTATTCAGAGATAGCTAGAAAGATTACTTTCAAGTATGTGCTTTGTTTTTCTTTATAGCCATTTAATCCTCATATTCTCCAGCTTTGAAATGTAAGCAAAAGATACATTTTATATATGTGTATATACATATATATGTATATATGTATGTGTACTTGTACATATATTGATAAATATATTTACGTGTATATATCAAGAGCTCTTGATAAAGTCATGAATTTTTAACACATCTCCTTTGTCAGAAGTACTAGCTATCAATGTCAATGGATTAAGGAAAATCCAAACTTCCTTTTCCTCTTGCTAGTTACTTTATAGGCACTTCAGCACTCTTAGAGTTGTTAGTCTTTTGGTTTCGAGTGCACTAACTTTAATGATGGAAAAAATCACACAATTTTATAAGTATATGAAGCAAATTCAAAAATGCAGAAGAGCATTTTTGCTATTACTTGCAGATTATCTCTCAGCTTTTAATCAAAAGGAAAGCTTTCTAGTGAATCCAATTCTTCACCAACTTTTTTTTTTTTCTACAGTGTTCATTTGTTCCTCGTGATGCTGAAACTGACTGGTGGGTCACACCCAGTCTTGTTGCAAATTGAGGGTTGTAACCTATGGGATGACATAAGGCACAGCTTTTAGTGCCTCTGAATCTAGGAGGAGTTTAAAGTGACTAAAGGAATTATATATACTTCCATGATATTTTGTCCCCACAAACCATTAAAGCAGAAAAGCCAGCGATAGACAGTAACACAGTGTAAGAAGGTTAATTTGCCAGTCAGAGTTGTATGATGATGGTGATTATATAGTAATTACATGGTTACTTTATTAAGGATTAGTAAAGTAGCCTCTCTTTCCTTCTTCTTCGTAACTATCTATTTATTTATTTCTGAGTTGTTGAGTCCATCTGTAGCATTTCAAAATCAGACTCTACCAGAAGAGCAGACCAGGAAACCTCCACTGTTGCTGCAGCGCCCCTGCTGTTCCTGCTTATAAAGCACATCTGTGTGGCAGTAATTATGAGTTGTAATGGAATAGGCCACGTTGCAAAAGGGGCTTGGCCAGACTAGTGTGGCCCAGCATTTTCTTACAGGCATTACCTGTTTCAGTTAAATGGCAGATTGGAGTGCTTCTCTAGGGGAATGAAGTCTATCATTTTTCATGTTTCAAACATAAGAAATAAACAAGACTGGGACTACTACTACAAGGTGCAGAACACCTGAAGCCTCCCAGAACTGAGGTAACCAGGTGTTTTTTTATCCTGTTGCTCAACCTGTCTAGTCCAGCTATAGAAAAAACAAACACGACTCATTTTTTTTAATATCTATTTTTCAGTACATTTGCCAACAGCAGTAAAACCAAGAAAGCTTGTTCTTTGAGTTGCTGATTCAGTATTAGATGTCTGTGTCATTTTGCCAATGTATCCAGTGCCATATATTTATTCTAGAGAAGCCTACTAATAATAAATAATTCCATACCATCTTTTTTTTTTTTTTTTTTTTTTTTTTTCTCCCGTGGCAAAACTAGTGAGATAACCAGCTGTTAACAGAAGAGCTGTGGAGCAGCAAATGTCCTAGTGTGCTCAGAATATAAAGACATAGGTGTTTGTGAAGAGAAAACAGCTTTTTGCACTGTTTGCTACCTTACATTTTCACTGCCAGTGCCTGGCATTAGCTGCTTCCATTTCTGACAGCCAATTTCTGACCTTTTACTCTCTATGATCATTCCTTGTTTTTGCAAGAGACTTCCTTTCTTGTCCAAAAGTTTTAAGCAAATACAGTTGTTATTATAATTGCCTCTGCAGTATTAGCTTCTAGGAACCACGAAAAATCTCACATCACCGCTGTGTACAATTACATCATCTCAACATCACTGCTGCCAACTCTTACTCTTTGCTGGAGACCCATTATTTTTGCTTTAAAGACACGGAGTGACCTCATGAGCTTCTGAAGAAACCCCACAGCTGACTGCTTGCCATACCAACATAATAAAACAGTCATATGGGACCTTGATTAATATTTCAACACAGAAGCACCTGTGCTCTTTGCAAGAGATCAAGTCCTCTCTGTTAGACCCGATCCTAAACTGAAGTTCCTTTTCTGTGTCCTTTTAAAGGTAGTAGTCTGAGAATGGAAAAGAGTAACTGGTGTTCACAGCTAATCGGGAATGTGTTGGGATTTAAAAATAGTCTGGCCTCAGTTCCAGTTTCTTATTAAAGCTGAAGCAAATCTAAGTATAATTGAAAACAAGAGCGTGCATAGAAATTGTGAACCTGATTTTTATTTACACTGCACACCCCTTGCACCTCTCCAGCAATATGAAAGGTCTTGGAACATGGCTCAGTTATTTTTATATTCCCATGAAGGGCCTGTTTATAGAGTCGGAGCTTAGAAGTATTTGTAAGAGTGCAGAATTTGCCTTTCAGAGCAGTGGAAAGTCAGCACTGTATGACTACAAGGCACTGTACTTTAACTTATTTAGGGTTTCCAGTTGGACAGTTAGGAGGAAAAATAGAAATTGAACAATGGATGGGTAAGAAGTTCCATGAAGAATGTGCAGTACCTCATCTGTAGGTGATTTGCGGGAATCAAGTAGACCTTGTTATTGGCTGGAAATATATGTCGCCTTTGTAGTCTAGGTGAAAGTAAATGGTCTCTGAGCTGTCTCATTGGCCAAATGATTTCATCTCAACTGGCAGTATTTGACAGATACACCCTTGTTTGACATTGTAGCTCTCACTGAGTGACCTAATGGTGCTACAAGGGAATGAAGTGTCCTCATACCCTTATGGGAGAGGATCTACAGATCAGGGTACTGGGCATCCAGTGTGGGGCACTGCATGGAATTGCTGTTCCTTTGCATCCTTCCATTGCTGTTGCCTTTTTTGTGCCCATTCAGAGGGCAAGCAGAGATATTCAGGTTCCTGGTTGACTCTGTGGTGCCTATTGTAAGGTCTAAATTGAAATGTTAGAAAATGGAGAGGCAAAATGAGAAAGTAAAGGAGTTGTCTTGGAGAAACACAGTCGTCATAAAGCTAGCGAGAAAACAAGGGTTTGATTGTGTAGCTCCGGGAGGGCCCTGCCAAATTCCACTGCAGTGGGAAGAACCTGAGCTGGTGGCAGTCATTAGACTTAAAGCATTGACATCCTGTATAAGGGAAGTGCCTTCTGTGCTACACTGAGTGTGGTGTGTTTTCAAGCAACTCCTGTTATGCTCTACAACCAGGACTTGTGATTCTGTAATGCTGCAAGTTCCCTCTTGGTCAGCTGCCTCCCGCTGGTTAGGACTGAAGTGATTCTTCAGTAGGTGGAGAGAGTAAAATGAGGATGCATCTATCTTGCATTTATTATTTATTATTATTATTATTTATCTTGCGTCTTACTAATTCTCGTGGTCTTTCTTAACATATGTATTCCAGGAGTTACTGAATAATTTCACCTTCCAGTTTGAAGTGACTGTAGAGGAAACCTGGAAAACACAAGACTTACTAAAGCTCACTCAGATGGAAATAAAAAGATACAAAGTCAACATCTTAAAAAAGTCCTGAGTGCTGCTTATGGAACATGGAAGAAGAAAGAAGATGGAGATGTGTACATTACTGCCGACAGAAAGTACTCAGTGCCATTAAGCACCATCTGACAAAGTAGATCCTTGTCAAGTATTTTTTCAGGGAACTTTTGTGGCGTCTTTCAAGGTCCCTTCCGTTCCCTGGCATTCTGTGGTCAAGGTTTGAATCCATGCTGCCCCGAGGAGGGCAAACACAAGTTCTTCCCCTCCCTCCAAACACCAACTGCAAATCACAGCTTCAAATGTATTTGACTAAAGCAGTATTTTTTTGAATTAACATTCAAAATAGACCTCAAGAAGTAGACCTTAAAAAAACAACAAGAAGAAACAGCTGACTTGAGTTTCCTGTCACTTATGGATGTATTAGGTTTTGATATGAAGTGTGTTTTCCTGAATTGGAATTTGTCCTTAAATTACTCATAAACAATGACCTCTTTCAAGAAAAATAACTACTTGCTTATCACAAGTGCTGTGGTTTTTGTAATTGGATTTCCTTGGCTTATTAAATCCTTTCTTTCCTCTTAGTTGAAGAGGAACTTAAAATTGCCTACCTTCTCTTCAATTTCATGGTTTTAAATTAGGTAATATTCCGTATTTTGCCTTGCTATTCATTCTTGTTCTTCATTGTAATATGCTTAGCTGAGAGAAACTCAGTTTTTTCACTCACTTTACAACTGCTTTGACTAAGGAAGCATATTAACACCAGTGTTAAGTACACATGTTCTTTTTACTACTAATTTTACTCTGCAAGATCCCAATGGGATTATCATGTGATTGTGTTTGCCACTGAAGTACTGCCATCTGTGGGTGAATTTGAGTTGTTATCCTTCATGGGAAGGTAAGGGGGGATGGAAGAGTTTATATTCAGAATCATAGGGTGGTGTATATTGGAAAGGACATTTAGAGGTCATCTGATTCAACTTACCTGCTGAAGCAAGGTCCCCTACAGCTTTGCCCGGACCATATCCTACAGCTGGTTTGATTCCGATTAATAGATATGTCTGTCTTTTTGCTGTTCTGGAGCTCATTCATCTTTCTTTAGGAATGTCATATTAGTTGTATGTGTGATAGTGGCATTCCAATCCTTTGACCTTCAGGTTGATGCTGCGCTGATGTTAATAATCCTAGTTCAAGTTATAGTATAAAAAGCATACAGCAAACTCCATGAATGAAAGTTGCAACCTCTATCCTTGATGTCTGATATTCCTTGAAGGTCAGAGTTTGAGAGCCTTCTGTGTCAAGGGTATATTACAGATGTTCCCAGCAATGTCTTGCAGTGGACCAAGCTTGGGTCTTGTCATTTGTAGCAAGATCACTAATTTCTGCACCTGTGGCAGTATAGGAAGATAAATCGGACTTAAGATTTGATCCAAACCCAGTGAGAAACAAGAGGATGTTTTTCTCTGGAAAAGTTTCTTTGGAAGTCCTCCAGAGCACCAATTCCCAACCAACACTGAATTTTTAAAGTTAGAGCTTGATTACACAAATCATCATGCAAGAAATCTAGGAGTGCAGTGTAGTACATAGGTATCATGGCCTTTTATAGTGCAGGAAAAAGGTATTATGCCAGGATCCTTGTGCAGATGAAGCAATAGAAGCATGGAAAGGTGAAGACATTTGATCAGTCATCCTACAAGCCTGAAAATAGGATATACTTGTCCCTCCCTATACATTATGACATCTGCAACAGTGTTTTGTGCACAGCCAGGTCTGAATGGTATTGCTGGGGTTCTTTGCCCTTACAATGTTGTCTGGGCTGTGGCTGCTGCCTTAGCGAGCCAGCCAGTGCTCATGGCAGTTAACACAAATCCTGATGAATGGTCTGTGTTGGCTGCTGACCTAAGGTTGAGCGGACTTCAAAGGCTCCTGCTGTCAGAACTCAGTGAGGAGGTGAGCAAGAAATGAACGTGAAATGGGTAAACCTTCAATAGATGGGCAATATCAGCAGATACAATTCAAGCTAGAGCAGTCGTCATGTTGAATCTTGCCTTTTAAGGCAAGTGGGTTTGCTACAGCAGTTGGCAAGTAGAAGAACATGAAAATGCATTGCTATCAAGTGACGAGGAGTTACCTAATTTGGAAGGCTGTCAGTATTTCTTACCAAATTTCTTACAAGTGTCAATAACTACAGAAACAAAACAAAACACAAGGTGAAGATTAGGTGAGCTTCAGTTTGCAGTTCAGATGATCACTTAAGCATGTGCATAGAGCTAGGTTGGAGAATTTAAATTTCATTGACTTTAATAACAGCAAACATATACCTGAAAGTAAGTGTTTTCCAGGAAAGCAGTAGTTTCTTGCACTGGTGCTAACAGCTGTAACTTCTAGCAGCATGTTGTAACTACATTGTCACTATTTCTGGGACACTGAGAAATACAGGTACGGGATCAAGATATGTATTTCTTTACAGTACTGTGTTCTTTGTGTTTCTGTTCATTCAAAAAATTCTTGATTTACCCTTAATGCTGTCGAATTGTGTGCCTGAATGCAATGTCATTTGTAAAGCTGAAAGCAGATATCTTCAACAAGTATTACAAATGAAGAATTGGACTTTCTAACTTGTATAAAAGGGAAATCCATGACAAGGGAACAGAGGATAATGCTCAGATTACATTTCAAATAATAAAAAACTTGCATGATCCTAGAGCATACATTTCACAGCCCATCTGGCAGACAGTAAACATTGTGACTCTGTGGGATGGAAATTCTGAGCATTGTGAAAACTCTGTGCGTGGCAGACACCCATGGCAGTCATGACACATCCCACCCAAAAATATCCATTGTGGAAAGCATAAAGCCAACAGACAAGGCAACATGTCCCTAGTACCTATGAAGCAGACCTATGTGAGCATTCAGCCTGCCACTGAAGTGGCATGGACTGTGCCATATTGAACTGCCATAAGGGCTGTGTTTTTGTGCACGGCCGGGCATTTTTTGATGGTAGATCGGGTTAATGAATTAGCTCTAGCTAGTGTTGTCTGATCTCTCTGGAAAAGATTTTCCTTGAAAAGAGCTACTTAAGCTGGGGGATTGCAGAAGCTGGAGTGCCAGCAGTTATGTCAGCTTGACCTTCTATCAGGTGGTTTGTGTTTGTGATTCTGTGGTGAAAGAGGAAATTCAGAAGATGACTCGTTAGACCATGGAATTTTTAGTGTCAGAAAACATATGCGTTATTGTTACTAGAGCTCAGCTTAACCATTGGAAGTTTTGTATATCAGGTCAATGAATGCAGCTGTCTTCTAAGGCTCTACAAGTCCTTCATAATGAATTCATTTTCCTCAATCAGGTGGCTGTCATCAAAAACAAATCCACTGCTGTGAGGCAACTAGGAATAATGCTTGGTCAGTAAGATAAAGACTAGCCCTAGTTTGAAATGTCTGTGACAATTAGCTTCCCACATTCCCACCTTCTCTCACATGTTTAGTTCAGGAGCACTCCATGGCTAAGGGTTGGAACCGTTGTCCAGCATTAGTTTGCATCAGTTAAGGGTGTGACGTAAGGTAGCAGTCCATACCTGCTACTGGCCTCCTAAAACATCTGGATCATGTTGAAGGCAGTCTTTGCCATTAATTTTTCTGGATGAGGTATTTCACATAGTTGATACTGATACGTAGAAGAATCAAGCTTTGTTACTAAAATTTTCAATCTCCTATTACTGATGCCACCGAACTCCATCTCTAGGGTGAGCAAAAAGCAAGTATATGCAAACATGTTATGTCCAGACCTTGAAGAGTTAGAAAACCTGGGGATTAGCTGAGGAGCTTATGAAAACAGCAGGAAAACTGAGTGTTGTTGTGTTGATGGGTTTTCTATCCATGTATCGACTCATTCAACTCTGGGGCTGTCGACAGCTGACAGAACAGACAGTGCCAAAAAGAAATGCATTTCTACGTGCAGCTGCCTTTATGTTATGATTAGCATTACCTGTTAAAGCATCGTTGCAGTAAGATCGCATTACTTGGTTTTACCAATGCCATTCTTGAACTAATAGTGAAAAAAATGTGCTAACTCCCCCCCACACCCTTTTCCTCCTTTCTGATTTCATTCTCTGAATATTTATGAGTGCTGCAGACGTACAATAGCTGAACCTTCATGCACCGCAAGATTCCTTTGAGATGGAGAATTACCCGTCCGTTTTATAGATGAACAACTGAGACGGAGCAAGGTTGTCCATGACCTCATCAGGATTACACAGGTATCCTGAGACAAAACCAAAACATGCATTTGCATCTCTTAAGTCCCATCTCACTGATTGACTCAGATCTTCTGAGACGCTCTTTTTCTTCTACCCATTCAGACAGCAGCAGAAGGGCTCTCTGTAGCAAACAAAAGCTAGCGAATCTCGGTAACCAGCGAATGAGTCTTAGTAACTGTACATGGGTATGTATTTGCTTGAGGTGAGAGAAGAGTATTCCAAGATGTTGAAACTGGCATGCTCATGGAAGCAGCAGAGATCATTTTATAATTAGGAAATTATTTAAAGCTATGCTTTAAAGGAGGAGCTTCAAAGCATTTTCATGAAAGAGTAGGAAATGTTATTTCCTGCTTTTGTAATTTTGTTCTTTATAGTTGATTAAAAGTTGAAGAGAGATCTGAGAAGCTTGTTGGAGCTTCATTTTTGTGGAGATCCACAGTTGCTTCTTTGCTTGTAGGATATTCATTTGCAGCTGCATTCTCAATGATGTTGCTGTTGGAAAGTTGATGCACTTTTGTCTCATTTAACTTTCTAAAAAATTCAGTTGTCACTTCACAAGCTCTGAAATGCTCAGATTCTGTTTTATCATGGCATCTTTGATCTCCAGCCTGTGCCTCCGCTGGAGTCAGGTTGGACTTTTAGGAGGTTGTTGTTTTGTTTTTACAGCTCCCAACTGTCTAAAGGTAAATTCCCTGTGATTCTCTGAGTGAGAGCTGTAGG